GTAAAACTCCTCTTTCGTTGAAAATTAATAAGCTATTTGCTTCTATTGCGCATAACATACAATAAAATTACACGTTCTAGTAAACTTCAGTTGAGGTACACGCAGTTCACTCATTTAGATTTTTTAAAACTTTAAAGTGAAACAAATTTTTCCCTCGAATCCAACTATTATTAGGTGTTTTATAGGCACAACTATTGATCAGTTTACTCCTAAATGGGAGTTGTAGCGGATTGCTACCTTAGTAAAGCCTGACTGACTCAGAAATCTCTATGGCAGATCCTCCTACATCTACCTAGACTCCCAAAACCAGCTAAGCTATTGCCCAGCTATAAAGGAAACAGACGTGTAGCAATGAGCACGTTTATTCAGTGAGTATATTATGGATCAAGTGTGTACACGCAGGGAGCTACTCATGATCAGGTTGGTGGATTAGGTTAAACAGAGGTTGATGATTGGTCACTGTTTGTACGGTCGCTGCACACAGAGTTGAACGGCCGCACCTCCCCATCCTGGCGAGCAGACATGCAGGCAGACAGAGTGCACTTAAAATGATACCGATAAGAAGTCATACGTTTTGAAACAATACCAAATGTTATCTAATTTTAAGTGATGTGTATGATACTATATAATATAATTCTCTCCAATATTTGTTAATCTTTTCCATTAGTTTTTCAGTTTTTCTTGTTTTTTTTTATCAATTGAAATACTCGTTCACGTGTTTTTAGGCTGCAGTTGCATTTTAAAACCTCCTTTCCCAAGGGGAATGCTCATGAAAATGAAAAAAGTGACTATCGGGTAGGATGAAACCTAGTCAATGTGGAGGAAATAGTAGGACTTTCAAAATTAAATCTTGTTCTTTTGGGAGATTATACGTGCTTTATTGGGCGGCACTCTCATTTTGAATAATTATACCTTTTCTATTTAATAGACTTGGGTGATAATTGTTTAATTCTTGATTTGGTTTTTCTTGTTGTTAACGCTAAAATTAGTTTGAAACTCTTTCACCCCGGTTTATCCATTCATACTTTGTTATTCCATGTAAATCGCAGTAAATGCGTAAAATTACATTTCCGTAAGGTCAATCATAGCTTGGGGGGATAGAATGGTCACTTTATTCGAAGTTAACCATGATATTTTCCACTAACGCTGTCATCAATGATTCACTTCTTATCGCCACTAGAAATTTGGTGTGAAATAGGACGAATCCTTTGCCTTGACAATAGGATAATACTTCGTTTCTCTACTCACCTTTGTTTTATTGATTTTATTTTCTTTTGTTTTTATTTAAGAAAAAAAAATTCTTAGGCTACATTTATGATGGATGCATTCATGAGATGTGGAGTAAACCCCATTGATAAACTGAATTTTTGAAATAGGATTTAGCAAAAGCTGTTGCAAAACAATGCGTTGTGTTTAATTGCTCTGACGGTTTGGATTACAAGGCAATGGGTAAATTCTTCAAAGGTCTAGCTCAGTCTGGTGCATGGGCCTGTTTTGACGAGTTCAATCGAATCGACTTGGAGGTACTCTCGGTGATTGCTCAACAGATTCATACAATCCAAATGGCGATTGCTCAGGGTCTTAAGCAATTTGTCTTTGAAGGTACTGAACTCCAACTTGATCCCACGTGTACTATATTTATCACCATGAATCCTGGATATGCAGGTCGTCAGGAGTTACCTGATAACTTGAAGGTGCAATTTTATTAACACATAAAGTTGAAAATTGGATTTCCAGCGGCTAATTTTAAGTAAAATTCTCAATTTTCCCTGAAGGTTCTCTTCAGATCCGTGGCAATGATGGTTCCTGACTATGCGTTAATTGGTGAAATTTCACTTTACTCAATGGGTTTCGTTGAAGCTAAAGCGTAAGCTCTCCAATTACTTTACGAAGCTCAATTTTCAAATTAATGTTTCGCTTATTTTAATTAAAATAAGTAACAATTCATTTATAATGAATGTCTTGACAGAAACTTTACCTATCTTGAAAATTGTTAATTGTATAATTATAGCGGGATGATGTTTTGGGTAAAGATCAAAATGCCATTAACTGTAAAATATGTGCAATAATGAAATTCATTCCAGTTATAAAGTTTTAGCGGATCATTACACGAATGAGCCTTGACTTAACCTCAGCAATCTCAATGTCAAGATCCCAGAGTATGGAAAGGCTCCCGAAATTAGTTAAGATGGATCGACAGTATAGAGGAGAATAGACGTATGATCTGGAATAAGTTTATTTGGACGGGTGTGTTTTTCACTGACATTGAGCTTCTTCATTAAGTACAGTTTTAGGTTCGCCAATCTTGTAGTGTCCATTAATTATTGATTGGTCGAGAGGTCTCGACACTTGCCATCTAATTTTCTTCCCCAACACGATCAGCGCCATGTCCGCACGTTCCAGAATGTTTGAGCGTACATGAGATTGCTTATTTTAATCGTACTATACAAAGTAACAAAAGTAATTGCAGCATTATAACTTGAACCTGTTTAAGGAATATTTATTTATATTTCAAATGGCAGGCGTTATGATAGCTATCATTAGCCATTTAGTTGACTTCGGGCTTCACAGAAGGAAGGTTCATCAAAGTAGCAGAAAGTCGAGGGGTGGGGATCAGAAGAGCGATTCACAGATGTAAAAGAGGCAGACAGACACAAAGGCAGAGAAAAGGATAAGATGAGTACTGTGAAAGCGGTCGAATATGACAAGCAGTCGTGCCATGGTATTTTGAAGTCAGAAGTCAACTGCCGGTTAATAGACTTTTTTGCCGTATGAGTATACGTTGCCCAGGGTGCACCACGTGGAGGTAAGTCTATCGCACACCCCGTTTAAGGAATATTATGCAACCTGAACTTTTTTTAGGTTTCAACCGAGTGATTATGCAAATTTTCTCAATGCCATTTTCCAATTCTCTTTAGACTTTCGAGTAAGATTGTGGCCACTTACAAGCTATGCAGCGAACAGTTATCTTCCCAGCATCACTACGACTACGGAATGCGAGCAGTGAAGTCAGTTCTCACTGCAGCCGGAAACCTTCGCCAGAACTGTCCAGATGAAAGTGATGAATCCAGACTCATTCTGAAGGCCATTATCGATGTGAATCTTCCAAAGTTTCTTGCTCAAGACATCCCTCTATTTGAGGGTATAATTTCAGATCTCTTCCCAGGCGTACAATTGGCTGAAACTGACAATTCTGTATTTATGGCAGCTGTGAATACTGCCTTGGCAGATAGGCAACTTCAATCTGTTCCCTGGTTTACCGACAAAATCCGTCAAATTTATGAAATGATTCTGGTTCGACATGGTCTGATGATTGTCGGAGAACCTTTGGGTGGGAAGACCCAGGCCTATCAAGCTCTTGCAGATGCTCTAACAAGCCTAGGAGATTCTGGGGCAATGCCGGATGAAAGTGAAGTTCACTACGGGATAATCAATCCGAAATCAATAACGATGGGACAACTCTATGGACAGTTTGATGCCGTTTCTCACGAATGGTCTGATGGAGTCTTAGCAGTTCTCTTTAGAAAGTATGCTCTGGCTCAAGATGTTTATCGAAGATGGGTGATATTTGACGGGCCTGTGGATGCCGTGTGGATAGAGAATATGAACACAGTTTTGGACGATAACAAGAAACTCTGTCTCATGTCCGGAGAGATTATAGCCATGTCAAAGAGAATGAATATGATCTTTGAACCTGCTAATTTGGATCAAGCTAGCCCCGCTACGGTGTCAAGATGTGGAATGATCTTTATGGAGCCTTCACAACTGGGTTGGAGACCAATGATGAATTCCTATTTGCAGCATAAGTTGCCCCCTGCATTAAGTGATGAACATCGAGAGCTACTGATGGCTCTTTCTGAATGGTTAATTGACCCTTGTTTAGAGTTTGTGACAAACCAATGCACCCAACTTCTTGATATCTCTGAATTGCATGCAGTAAAACAACTTATTACCTTATTTGATGTCCATTTGGATCCAATGCGTGAGCTCCATTCATTGAAAGGTGGTGGTGAGGAAGAATCAGAACTGGCTGATCAAGGTAATTTTGGTCTAACCGAACAGACAATTACTCTATGGCTACAAGGCCTTTTCATCTTTGGAATAATCTGGAGTATTGGTGGTGCCCTTAACCACGACGAACGGGCACGCTTCGACATCTTCTACCGTGAACTCTTATCAAATTCTGAGAAACGACCCGCCTCGGTCAAACTAGGAAAGAACACCTCTATCCCCGATCGTTTAACAGTCTATGACTTTATGTTTGAGCGCAAGTCAACAGGAACCTGGGTAGAATGGGCTTCCAGATTGAATTCCTCTGAAATTAGTCGCGATGAGCGTCCGCAGGATATGATTGTACCCACAACAGAAACTGTCAGAATGTCATATTTCCTAGATCTCTATTTATCGCATAGAATACCTATGCTGATTGTTGGTCCTACTGGTAAATCTTTTAGTCTACTTAAATTATATGCAAATGATAGAAGTTCACCAAAAACTACTTTTCTTTAAGGAACTGGTAAATCCGTAATTGCGAACCAGCATCTAGTCAATTTATCAAGAGACATCTATATCCCAAACACGTTGAGTTTTTCTGCTAGGACATCGGCGAATTTAACTCAGGAGATTATTATGTCTCGACTAGATCGACGCAGACGCGGCGTCTATGGTCCACCTCCAGGGAAACAGTGTATTGTGTTTGTAGATGATCTTAATATGCCCGCGAAGGAGGTCTACGGAGCCCAGCCACCTATTGAACTGCTGCGCATGTGGATCGATCATGGCCACTGGTATAATCTCAAGGACAACACTAAACAGTTTCTTGTCGATGTGGTAAGTTACTGACTAGAATGCTTTTTGTCCCCACCATGGTTTTTTAACACATTTTCAAAACGTTCCACTTTCCTCTTCTGTAAATATAGCCAAATAAGTAATAAAAACAGTGATTGGCAGATAATCACATCAAATTTTTACCAATTATCATCACGTACCTCTCTATACAAAAATTGGTGGGCCTACCCTGCTTTTAGTAGTTTATCTTGCCTGTCATCGATGAGAACTGGATCAGGGAACTATTGTCCCTAAAATAGGTTCTCTCTAAGTCATCGCCCTTTACCAGATGGAGATGAGAATGTGGTAAACTAGGCTTAATGCCAACAAAAATCCCGATCTATGGTCTGAAAATTGGAGAGGTAGGTAGATGGCTTACATGATGAAGATCCAGATATAATTTGGGAGTTACACAGTCCTTGGAGTATGGTAAACAACCTGAATTGTTCAAAAAACGGCTTCCGTTTAGAGTCTTTCCATGTTCATGGTATGGGTTCATATGATCGAAAATGTCCTTGAAATGAGCTAAAGTAAAGCTTGACGTCCTTTTAACTCTGACCTAGCAGTTTGGTCCTTCTAAACAGCAACGGGAAAGAGAGAAGTGAAACTATTATGGATTTTTGGACAGCTAGTTAATTGAGAAAAATTTGAGCTTCAAACGCCTTTCCATTTCTTAGCAAAAATTTAGTTAGCAATGAAAAGAGAACTAACCTGATACTCTGATACATACCAAGTTTTGAGAAGTACATCGAATCAAACCTTGTAGTCTGAAAAGTTGGTGATTTTTAATAAAGTAAAATTGGGGGTGCTAAGTGAAAGATTATAGCGCAAGAATTTCCGTCCAACTTCCCTATTACAAAGTTGCCTTGGAAGTAAGATAATGTAGATAAAGAGGCATTAAAATGGAAATGAAAGAAATATATGTCTGGTTATAAAAGAAGCCTAAGTAGTCTTTCATGCTTCTTAAGCTATTTCTTGCATCAATGGGTCCACCTGGAGGAGGTCGCAATGAGATAAGCTCGCGGTTCACTCGCCACATGAATGTTCTCGGATTGAACGAATTCAACGACAGCATAATGAATCGAATCTTCACCGTCATCGTGGACAGGCATTTCTCTCAAGGCTATGATGCCCAATTCAGTCGGCTGTCTAAGGTCATTCCTAATTCAAAAAACAAAAATGTTTCTCACAAGTTATCCCATTGTCTAAATCCTACTGACTTTATTATAGATTATGGTTCAAGCCACTCTGGAAACATACAAGAACGCAATCAAATCATTTTTGCCTACTCCAGCGAAATCTCATTATATCTTTAATTTGAGAGACTTCTCAAGAGTTATTCGAGGTGTTCTTCTCATTCCACCGTTTGCTATGAAGGAAGAACAGAAGTTTATTCGTCTCTGGGTCCACGAAGTAAGGGCATTGGCATTAGACCTTCTAATTTAATATTCACTTTTCCTCCAGGTCTATCGTGTATTCTATGATCGCCTCACTCTGGACTCCGATCGTAAAAAGTGGTTTGAAATTGTCTCGAATACGCTCAACTCCATTTTCAAAGTTAACATTAACAACCTCCTTGGCAATCTTCGACCCGATGGTGGTAAAATTGAGGACGATGATATTCGCTTATTGATGTTTGGTGATTACATGACGGATGAGCAGATCTATGATGAAGTTGTGAATGCAGATGAGTTGAAAAGCAGGATACAGTACTTTTTGGATGACTACAACTCGGTGAGCAAGACTCCAATGAATCTGGTACTCTTCAAATACATATTAGAACACGTGAGTCGGGTCGCAAGAGTGCTCAAGCAAGATGCGGGTCACTGTCTTCTTGTCGGTATGCCACCCAATTTTCTTTGCACATTGAAACTAATTGTAGACGTGGCGTTCAATTAGGATATTATTATTTCAAAAGCGGGAGAATATTTTATAAGTATAATTTCATTGTTTTTCACTGCTTTTTCTCAAACTGACGTCCATTTTGATTCAGACACTGTTGACAATGGCATGGCACATATCATGTAATTATTCCCGTGGGAGTTGGACGCATTCATGCTCAATGGCTTCACTTATTTCAGTGACTGTTGGAGGTTTCGTAGTATAGACTCTGTCCTTTAAGTACCTCCATAAAAAACCTAGTGGTGTGAGGTCTGGTGAACGGGGAGGATATTCAACAAAACCTCTTCGTCCAATCCACCCGCTTGGCAAGAACTCATCAAGGAAAGACCTAACATCGCAATGGTTCCCCATCTTGCTGAAAATAAAATTCTTCATCTTCAGAGTCTTCTTTAGTGCTTTACATTACAGACTGCTACAGAATAAAGAAATAATAAAAAACACTATGTTTACAATTGTTTTATGTGCATCATCTACAAAGGCGATAGGAAAAAGGCAACTTTTTAGTTCCTTAAAGCTAAGCTTCGCTTATAATTCTCAAGATCGTTCGTTCAACTGGAAACTTGTTATGGAGGCGAATCGTCATAAATTGCATTAGATTGGAGAAGGAAAGTATTGGTTTCGGCGTAGTTTCCTAAACGCACACACACTTCACGGATTATTCCAGTTCAGTCTGTTTGCAAATCGATTAAGACATATGCATTTATTAATTTTTGTTAAAAATATTCACCGATCATAATTAGAGAATAGTTTATATCATTGATTTGGCTCAATGAGTCTGAGCGAATCCCTCAAAGTACCCTATGCATTTCTTCACATATCACAGTTTCAAACATTTAAAGTATTTTGAAAATAGTAGTATTCTAGTATCGATTAAATGGGTTTTTAATTGTGGTTCTGCGTGCGAATCTGTAATACGGCATTAGTTTATTTCGATTTTTCCCATTTTTTAGGCGTTGGTGGTAGTGGTCGACATAGTGCGGCTCGATTGGCTGCCTACATGGCCGATTACGAGCTCTTCACCATCGAAATTTCCAGAAACTACAGTGCTACCGACTGGCGGGACGACATGAAGCGTCTGCTCCTGAAAACTGGTCTCAATGGAAAGCCCACAGTCTTCCTTTTCTCTGACAGCCAAATTAAGATGGAGTCCTTCATGGAGGACATCTCAATGCTTCTCAACTCCGGCGACCTTCCAAACATCTTTCCACCTGAAGAAAAGGTGGAAATCCTGGATAAGCTACAGACGATTGCCAGAGAGGCCGTAAGTGGAAAATGATTGATATCTGATTTCATAACTTGCAAATTAAGCCTCCGACTTTAGTTGGAACCTCAAGATGGTTACAAAGATGGTTTTGAAGACTCAGGGAGCATGGCAAGAATGAATTAGTGAAACAATCAATGTCTTGTGAAAAATCTAAAATTTTTTTTATTTTTAACTGCCATTTCCCCGAGATCCAACAGGTAAAGAATAAGTATGAGATAGCTATATTCACTGAATTGCATACCAGGTAGAGGGAGGTGGTCTAAAATTGGAAGATTTGTATCAAATGGTGGGCTTTATGACAGTTATCATTAGCGCTTTAGTTGACTTCAGACTTTACAGAGGGGAGGAACATCAAATTCACAAAAAGTGGAGGGGGGGGGGACAGAAGAGTGGCTCACAGATGTAAAATAGGCTGGCACAAAGGTAAGGAAAAAGGAAAGGTGAGTACTGTAGAAGTGGTCGACTATGACATAAAGCCAAATCGTGGTAGGTTTAAGTCAACCGAGGTTTTGGCCGTTTTTTCAGTATGAAAATACGTTGCCCAGGCTGCGCCACGTAGAGGTGTCTATCGCCTACCCAAAAAATATTAAGATAGACAAAGAGAAAAAGGTAGTGCTGGAGCTAAGCCTGTTGACAAAGGCGTAAATGAAGCCGCATATTCGTCAAGTGTAATTGCGGACGTAAATGAGCGAAATATAGTACACGAATAATTTGGTCAAAGTTGGTGTTTGATAAAGGATTGAGCGTTCTTTGTTCGTCTGAAAAATTCATTGGGAAGTTTGCGAATATTGAACATGAAGTGCACCACAGCTTCTCTGTTTCTATTTCCTTGAATTAGGGTGTGCGATAGACTTACCTCCACGTGGTGCACCCTGGGCAACGTATATTCATACGGCAAAAAGTCTATTGACTGGCAGTTGACTTCTCACTTCAAACAGCCATCACCTCACTCTCTCCCATATTCGACTATTTCACAGTACTTACCTCACCTTTGTTCTACCTTTGTGTTTGTCTCTTACATCTTTGAAACACTCTTCTGTTCCCCCCCCCCCTATCGACTTTTTCAATTTGATGTTTCTTCCCCTCTGTGAAGCCTGAAGTCAACTAAAGGGCTAATGATAACCATCAAGACGCCTGCCATTTGATATAAATAGATATTTCCTTGAATTATTTGCTGATCATTCGTTTCAAATCATATTTAGAAACTAACTAGTTCTTTTAACTTAATTGAACAGTAAAGTTATTTTGTGTTTCATTAAAATCCTATTTTATAGGCTAAAGTAGAGGAAGAAGAGGTTGTAAGTTTTGAAATGTAACTGAATATCGTGAACACATTCCAGCATATTGCACCTGCACCTTTTTTCCTGAATATGCACCAATTAAAAGGCAAAGTTTTCTAACGATTAATTCCTTTTAGGGCGCTAAAATTGAGAATTCGCCACTGGCAGCGTACAACATATTTATCGAGCGTGTTAGAAAGAATATGCACATTGTGCTAACAATGAGTCCCATTGGTGATGCCTTCAGAAATCGTTTGAGAATGTTCCCTTCCCTCATTAACTGTTGCACCATCGATTGGTTCCAAGTAAGGCTCTTGGTTGTGGTTTTCATCCAAATGATTCGTAGGTTTGGCCAGAAGATGCACTTGAAATGGTTGCTACCACATCCCTAGTTGATATTGAACTAGACGATGAAGTACGAAAATCGATCGTTCATACATGCAAACACTTTCACAAGAGCGTCAGACAACTTTCCGAGCGATTCTTGAGCGAACTTCGACGTCATAACTATGTTACACCAGCCTCTTACCTTGAGCTAATTCGGACGTTCAAGCATTTACTTCAAGGAAAACGGGATGAACTCACAAAACTTCGAAATCGTTATCTGGGTGGTCTGGGTAAACTTGACTTTGCAGCTCAAGAAATTAGCAAAATGAAGACGGAATTAGTTCACCTACAGCCGAAATTAGTTTCCGCGGGAGCTGAAGCAGATGCGCTTTTGGAACGCGTCGCCAAGGATACAATAGAGGTTGACGCACAGAGAACTATCGTCGCAACAGATCAAATGATAGCTAATCAACGACAAGCCGCCGCTCAGTCGATAAAAGATGAGTGCGAGGCGGATTTGGCGGAGGCCATGCCAATATTGACTGACGCTCTAGCATCACTTGATACATTGAAACAGAATGCAAGTGCTTGTTTCATTTGAAAGTGGGATTATAGGACTAAATCTCTGTAACAATATATATTTGTTTTTTTCGTCTTCTTCTTCAGGATATCACTCTAGTGAAGTCAATGAAGAACCCGCCTTCTGTTGTAAAGCTTGTAATGGAAGCTGTTTGTATTATGCTGCAAGAAAAGCCAGAACGGAGGCCCGATCCGACAACGGGTAAAATGATGGACGACTACTGGGGTGTGTCCTTGAAGATCTTGGGAGATATAAAATTTCTGGAGAAGTTGAAAAACTACGACATTGACAACATTCCGCCTGCAGTGATTAAGCGTATTCGAGATGTCTACATTCCAAATAAGGATTTTGATCCGAAGATTGTCAGGAATGCGAGCACGGCTTGTGAAGGTCTTTGCAAGTGGATTATTGCATTGGATAAGTATGACACAGTGTCAAAAATTGTGGCTCCGAAGAAGGCAAAATTGGCTATTGCTGAAAGTGAACTGGAATCTCAGGCAAATGATCAAATTTTATTTTATTTGCTTTTAATCATTCAAGGTTGTAGTGATTTCTGTGCTTTATTTGCTTTGATCTAAATAGCTTTACCTTTGCAACTGCCTTTTACTTGACAAGATACATACGATACTATAGTCAGATCATGTCATTCATATGTTGCCAAATACGTTACGTCAGAGTACTTTGTTTCAATTGAATGAATGGTAAGCATTAGTTTGATGATAAAGAGGATCTGTATATTAATATGAATCGAAGATTGAGTTGATGTTGCTGTGTCAAGTCAATGAGATTGAAGAGAATGACTCTACTGACGCATTTACACGAATACTCGGGTTTCAAGTTTCGGAGTGATCATTAGCTTTGCCGATTCTGTGCAAACTATTTCAGTTCACAGCTGGTCAAAATGTGATTGTACCAAATCCAACTACTTAATTTCAATAACGTGTCTTATAGGTAAAGCAATTTAAAATGAAGCAGCGTAAAGGTCCGTCAGATTAATAAAGGCCATAGGGTAGATCCAAGAACGTAAAAGAGGGCCGGGGTGAGATAGAGGAAATGTGTTATCACAATGCCAACTAAATAACATGTTTTGGCACTTCCCACTGTCTGGCGAGGTCGTGTAATTAATCTACTACTCATTCATCAGTACCAGAGTGATATTAAAGGTATAATACATGAAGCCATGACTGTCAAATCCAACTCAGTGGAACGTAGATTGCCATAATCGATACTCATAGAGCTTATTGAGTAATATCAAATTGGTCCAAATCTAACGTTGATAATGCTCTCCTTTACGTCTAGAATAAGAAATTAGCTGAGAAAGTAGCAATTCTTCAGGCAGTAGAGGACAAAATGGAGAAGTTAAAAGAGGAATTAGACGCAACGCAGAAGAGGAAGCAAGACCTCATCGACCAGATTGATCTCTGTGGAAAGAAGCTCGAACGAGCCTCTCAACTAATCAGTGGTCTAGGTGGCGAAAAAACACGGTGGACAGAGGCTGCTCAGGAACTCAAAGTCAGTTTAGTACCCACCTAATGAAGTTTTTAATATTTTAACTGACATTAAATGGTTATTAATTTGTTCAGGATCGGTATTACAACATTACCGGAGACGTTTTATTAGGAGCTGGTGTTGTGGCTTACCTAGGAGTGTTTACAGTAGAATACAGAACGGACGTGTTAGAAGGTTGGCATAAACTGGTGAAAGAGTTGAAAATCCCTTGCTCAGAGCAATTCAAGGTTTCTGAAACTCTGGGCGATCCAGTGACTATTCGAGAGTGGAATATCTCAGGACTTCCTGTTGATGGCTTCTCCACAGACAATGGAATAATTGTCTCAAATTCCAATCGATGGTCTCTCTGTATTGATCCACAAGGTCAGGCGAACAAGTGGATAAAGAATATGGAAAAAGATCGAAATCTTCATGTTATCCGAATGACCGATGGAAACTATGTTCGAACTCTGGAAAATGCAATCCAATTCGGATGGCCTGTGCTTCTTGAAGATGTAGGAGAAACGCTTGATCCGGTACTCGAACCTATTCTTCAGAAACTCGTCTTCAAACAAAGTGGAAGTAATTACATACGTCTGGGTGAAGATGTACTGGAGTATAGTGATGACTTCAAGTTCTACATCACTACTCGGCTTCGAAATCCCCATTACCTTCCCGAAATTTCCGTTAAAGTTTGTCTGATCAACTTCATGATTACACCAATTGGTCTCACTGATCAGCTGCTGAGTATCGTTGCAGCTAAAGAGAAACCAGAATTGGAGGCCACTAAAAATCGAATCATCATAGAATCCGCAGAGAATAAACGAAAGTTAAAGGAGCTCGAAGACAAGATTCTGGAGGTTCTTAGTTCATCTGAGGGAAATATTCTGGAAGATGAAACAGCTATCAATATTCTTTCCTCCTCAAGGATTATCTCACAGGAGATTCAAGAGAAACAGCAGGTAGCAGAAAAGACGCAAATGGAGATTGATGAGACAAGAGGCGGATATATTCCGGTGGCGAATCATGGTGCCATTCTATTCTTCTGTATCGCAGACTTGGGAAATGTCGATCCGATGTACCAGTACTCTCTATCCTGGTTTGTCAACCTCTTCATAATGGTAAGTATCCGTCATCTTTTAGTCAATCTATAATTTTCCACTCTTTCTGTCTATTCACTTTCGTATTTAGTCCATTGATACGAGCGAAGCGTCAGATGATTTGGATACACGAATTAAGAATCTAAATGACAACTTTGCAAAAGTAATTTACCGTAATGTCTGTCGATCTCTGTTTGAGAAAACGAAACTCCTGTTTTCGTTAATAATGTGCGTGGCATTGCTGAAATCAAAGTAAGTAACAGTCGCCGTGTAAACGCAATAGGGGTTAGTCCTCTGATGGTTCAATTTTATGCTTTTACAGAGGTGAAGTGAACAATGAGCATTGGCGTTTCTTTTTAACTGGCGGAGTTGCTTTAGAGAATCCCCACAAAAACCCCGCTCCTGATTGGTTGAGTGAAAAGTCGTGGTCTGAAATCGTACGAGCCAATGATCTTCCTGGCTTGAATGGCTTCATGCAAAGTAAGAAATACCTATTTTATAACTCGAAGCTGATTATTGTTCTCTGACAGACAAGAGACTATCGCATTTAGGACATTCGTTTATAGTGGGGGCAATCAACCCACTGATATTGCTAAATGTCACTTCTGAGTAGACTCAATTGGAAACACTTAAATTACAACTATTTGACAACAACTATACAAAATTTCGCCGTTTATTTTAAGAAGAATTGATTTGAATAAGTATTTACTAAATCTGGTTGATCAGTTCGCCATAAATAAGAATTGTAAATCCGCTTTTAAGTCAGAGAGTAGTGAAAAGGCTTCACAAGTGACAGAAACTAGATTCTGACATTTGTTCTTTGATCATGCAGTGGTCTAAAGGGCATGCGAAGTGCGTGTGTGCAAGTTCACGCCCTCCCTCCTCATTTTGAGCAATAATATATGTCCATCCCATGGATTCAGTGCATGACATGAATGCTTTCGGAAATGGACCCCATTCCAAATAGACTTGCTCGCATTATTTTATGAAATACCACCTCAACAATCAGTATAGGCATACATTTTTAGAGCAATACGAGGTAATCACTTAAGGTCTCATTAAAGCTCTTTATAATAACAAGCAAGCGAATAAATCAGAACTGGAGCGTCCATCTCGATAGGCTTTTGGAAAGCAGTTGAGGTTTAAATTTGTGATGAAGGAATAAATAAGTCAAGTATTTTCCTATTCGTATTTCCATTCAAGGCATAAGGAAAGATCCAAAGAAATGGAAAGCAGTCTATGAAAGTCAAAATCCTCACACAGAGATCTTGCCTAATCCATTTGAAAATACCACCGATATGATTCGTCTCGTAATTGTGCGATGCCTCCGTCTCGACAGAGTTATTCCTGCTGTCCAGGTAAGCAACATTCCTCACATTAGCATTTTACTCAGCCTGATATTTGTTACACGTGTATGCATTTTCTTCAGAATTTCATCGTGAGCCACATAGGTCGGCAATTTTTGGAGCCTCCAGCCTTTGATTTAGCCGACAGTTACAACGATTCCAACTGCTGCACCCCCCTGATCTTCATTCTTTCATCTGGATCAGATCCGTTGAATGCTCTTATGCGTTTTGGGGCTGATAAGGGTATTAAACCAACTGAAATGCAGACCATATCTCTTGGTCAAGGCCAGGGACCTCTTGCTGAACGATTAATCAAAGCAGGAATTGTGGATGGTTCTTGGGTGATACTGCAGAATTGTCACCTAGCTGCGAGCTGGATGCCGTATTTGGAGAAGATTTGTAATGAGGTGATTGTACCAGAAAAGACGCATGCTAATTTCAGACTCTGGCTAACCTCTTATCCGTCTTCAGACTTTCCAGTGTCCATTCTACAAAATGGTAAAAAAGTCCCCCCCCCCGGCAGTTTATTGTTTCTTTTTTTGCTTTTAACATTGCCAGAATTAGAAATTCTAGGGAGTGTTGTGCGTTAACGGCGCACTGTTAACTGCAGATATCTGTCGTATCAGAGGTCACTTGTTTGATCTCAATCGGCACTCAGTAGGGAGGGCAATGGCCCACCGCATCGTTGAGTATGGTTAACATATGGTTGTATAATTTGCATTTCTTTTTACGAAGGGTCCAGAAAGTGTCTCTTGTTCCAAGATAGGTTTTGGAAAGTGTTGTCTTAAACTGAGCTTTAAAATTCAATTTAGGGAGTTTTTACACAAGCAATCCGTTCCGTTCATTTAAGTGTAAGGTTAATTAAGAAATGACGGACAGCCTAGCGATCTAGATTTTGGGTAAGTAGAGTCCAGCCGAGCCATCAAATCCTAACTTATCAGGATCCTTACTAGACAATAAGGTGGTGATATTTCATGTCGATAAGAATGAATAAATAATAGTGAATAGCATTGAATCAATTGATAAAATTCCTTTTCTAACTTCAGGAATTAAAATGACTAACGAACCTCCAAAAGGTCTTCGATCAAATTTGCTTCGGTCTTATTCAACTGATCCAATCTCTGATATGAACTTCTGGGAGGGGTGCAACAAGGTGGACTTTTATTTCCAAATGAGGCATGGCTTATGTCCAAATAAATAACCATCATTTTATTAAAAAATTTTTTAGCCGCAAGTTTGGCACAAGATGATCTATGGCCTCTGCTTCTTCCACGCACTTGTACAAGAGCGTATCAAGTACGGTGCATTAGGCTGGAACATAGCATATCAGTTCAACGACTCAGATCTGCGAATTAGTGTTAGGCAGCTTCAGGTAAGTCGAAAGAATTTCGAACATTTCCAATCTAAACAGATTTATGATGGGACATGCGCTCTCTTTATCCACCAGATGTTCTTGAACGACTATGATGATCTTCCTTTGGATGCTCTGAAATATCTCACAGGCGAATGCAACTATGGAGGGCGTGTCACGGATGCAAATGATCGTAGATGCCTTGTCTCACTTCTGAGCAACTTCTATAATCACGATCTTGTATCTCGAGAAAATTACAAGTAAGTTAAAGCAATCAAGCAAATATTATCGTTTCAAAATCAACATCTCCCATTTTAGATGCATTTAATCTTTCAGCTTATCGCCGTCAGGAATATACCAAATTCCTCCAGAAGGAAACTATGCAAACTACTTGGAATTTATAAAAGCGCTTCCAAGTCTTCCCAGTCCGGAAGTCTATGGGCTTCATGAGAACGCTGATATTACCAAGGACAATCAAGAAACGACACAGGTAATCCCTTCATCGAGCTAATTAAGAAATAAGTGGAAACTTTGTGCTGTCTTAAAAGTATCTATGACCTTTGGACAACTTAAGTTGTTCTTGATGGCTTTGTTTTGTCCCATGATTAAATGCTAGACGAAGTATGTCTGTCCACCGTGTATTGTCTACTTTCAAAGTATTTGTATTACAAAGGTGGAATTAGGGCTCTTGGGGGGGTGGGGGGGGTTGAGATATTCATGCCACTGGTTGGATTGAAATTAATGCACCTTATTATATGCATTAAGACTTATTCATACATTTAACCTTACTCTTAATTTTTGATTGGCATTTCGCGCGATTAGAATTGACCGTTACTGGTATGTTCCAGATATACTGTCTGATCCCTCTTAACTAGGTTATGCCAGTGATAGTTAATTGAAAAATGCAAAGTTCTAATAAAAAATTGAAAATGTTATATAGTGCTCGTGCATTGTGATATGTTCAAGCAGCTTTCAGGTACTCAATTATATTTCCTTGTAGTTATTCGATGCCATTCTACTTACTTTACCACGAGAATCAGGAACTGTAGGTGAAGGAAAATCAGATGAAACGACAGTCAGCGAACTAGCAATGGATATTCTCACCAAACTTCCAAAAGAAGACTTCGACATCCACTCTGTAATAAAACGCTATCCCTTGACATATGAGGAATCGATGAACACAGTTCTTCGACAAGAATTAATTCGCTTCAATTCACTGTCTTCCGTTATTCGAAGTAGTCTTCAGAACCTTCTGAAAGCCATCAAAGGCTTTGTAGTAATGTCTGCAGAGCTAGAAGAGCTGTATGGTTCGATGCTAGTAGCGAAAATTCCCGCATTATGGGCTAGCAAGTCCTACCCATCTTTAAAATCTCTTGGAAGTTATGTCGTCGATTTTCTTGCGAGATTGAGTTTCTTCAGTGAATGGATATTCCTAGATTCTCCGCCAGTGTTCTGGATATCTGGTTTCTATTTCACCCAGTCCTTCCTCACAGGAGTATTGCAGAACTTTGCCCGAAAACATACTATTCCAATTGATATGGTCGGATTCGATTTTGAAGTGAAGAAAGTATACGTATCTAGTGTGCTAGAACCCCCATCCTCATCCAATTCGTCAGTTGGAAAGACGCGGAAGAACAATTTTAATGGTCTTCAACGTCCAGATAGTGGAGCACTAATAACAGGTCTCTTTATGGATGGAGCGAGATGGGATGCAGAGATGGGCGTTATCACTGAATCAAAACCGAAAATTCTTTTCGATGCCATGCCTGTGGTGAGTCTACTGAAAATTGATTAGTAGCATACATTCAGGTTAAATTTCAAATGTTCTCTTAGATCTGGTTGGTGCCGAAAGAACTGGAGAAGATAGAGAGGGAGTCCAAGTATGTTTGCCCCGTCTATAAGACTTCAATTCGACGTGGAACTCTATCAACTACTGGACATTCCACAAACTTTGTTTTGTCGATCCTCTTGCCGACTCACGAACCAGAGTCCCACTGGATCAATCGAGGAGTTGCTGCTCTATGTCAACTCGATGACTAGATTAATTCATTTCAGATGTTTGGCCTCCGTTGTGGTTATACTCTCTCTCTCTCATTCTCTCTTTCTGCAGTACTTATTCCTTCTGTCCATCGAATTAATCCTAAATAGAATGAATCGAATTATGCAATTGAATTTACATTTTGAGAATTATATTTTAAAGCCCCTTAGCAGGGACCACATAAGAATTATGCTTCATAAGGAAATGTAGACAGTGCTGTATGTTTATCGACTCTGACGATAATTTCACAGAAAAAATTGCTTCCTTTCTCGGGTTCCACGAGCTCCATCACACACGAAAGAAGGTAGAATTTGTGTCGAGATTATTTTGTTCAAAATATACTAAAAAATCGAACCGCCTTATGACGAATAAAGCAAGTGCAACACTGGGAAGAGCCCACAAAGTGCAATTTAGTTCAGTTTGGCAAATGATAAAGCAACTTTATAGATTTTATAGGTACATGTAAATTAGAAGCAATTAACACTTCGAGTTACTTTAAAGTCATGCTGGAGGTTAACTTTGATTGCTTAGACCTTTAGAGAACCTCTTGGTTATAGCTACCACTATTTAAAGTAGGCGGGGTGGCCAAGATTAAAGAGGGCCCTCGTGATTAAGGGAAAGTGAATTAACAGTAGCGTTTGTAGTCATATTATATGACCTCCACGCAAGCGCTCAATCGAATCACTTTCAGTGTGACACAGGCCATTGAACCTCTTTATCGAACAAAGGAGAAACAGTGGACAGTAGCACTCTCCGATATACCCGGCTGGCCAAGAATCGAAGCCGTTGCTGAGTTTAGACTACGTACCGGACACGATTGCTTGGTAAAACACCTTCACAGATTGGGATAATACACTCAACCCACACGTCCTCTATGTAACCTACAGGAGGAAATGGAGAAGACCCACCTGATTCGGTGTCCAGCCCTAAAGACAAGGTCGGAAAGCCAGAGATACTGGGAAGCAAGAAGACAGCTAATGAATTGCTATTAATTAACTGCTATAAATGTACCCCCCCCCCTCTTGGGGGAAGCTGAAGTCAAAGATTAAGTGCTAATGATAAATATCATAAAGCCTGCCATTTGAAATAAATAAATCTTGGTCACACTCCTTAAAGAGTTGAGTTTATTCATATGATTGGTAAATACTAGGCAAACATGAAGCTCACCCGGGGACTGTGCGTTCTCCATGCTTTGATGACACGACTACCTGCTGCAGGTAGTGTGGTCTAAGTAGGTATTTATTTGGCTTCATGTCTGTCAACCTCTACAAATAGTCACACAACATGATCTACTTAATAGCCATACTGGTCTTCCAATTCGCTTGCCCCATTTGTCAAAACTTTATGATTCAATTAAGTCTTGCAAAGTTGCGAGTCTATTTCAAACGAACTTGAAGATTGTAACACGTTGAATTAGGTTTGTCGGCGACCTATCAACCAGCTGGCATAAGACTGGCGGACTTTAACCTTATGTATTGTTTGCATTTATGATATATTGAGGATAGGAGAGCCTTACTTCCGAGTGATTGCAATGAATGGGTTCAACGACAAGATGGAAATTATTGAACTCTCTTCAATAAATTGCGAGGATACTTCTTATCGATCCAAAAAGGGAATTCCTAATGTGGTCGATTCGATCATTCAGCAAAATATCTGACCTACAGATTGACCAATGCCTGGTAAAAGTGGTAAATATTATGATAGATCAGTAAGTTTGACTTCGCTGATGAACTGATCTATTTCATTCCTTATATTTACGGTTCAGTAAATAGATTGGTTGCATATTTACAAGAGTAGAATAAGTATGGTTCACCATCGTCAATGTTTTGCGCTTCAGCTCCCAACCTCACTTTGGAAAGAGTATCAGAGAATGCGTACAAAAGGGCCAGGAAGAAAGATCTCTACCAGGTCATATCGTAGCACATTTTGCCATTCACCGCTGCATTTGGCGATAGGGATTGTCTTTCGTACTCACTCGCATTGGTTTTAAAAGAGTTTACCATGTGCCTTGGTTCCATTAAAAGAGATGAAATAATTGCTTGTTGTAAAGCTATTTCGATAATTGCCATTTGGTCCTGTAGGCTGTTATTCCCATCCAAATTTTTAGAAACCTCGTTATCTCAGATAATATTTCAAAGTGTAATATATAAGAGACACAATTTAACCAATTTCAGGTCAGATTAGTCATTTCATCAAAGTAGAAGAAACAGTTCCAAAGAGAAGTTTAAATGAAAATTACACAAATATTAAAGCCAAAAAAGAAATAGTTGAGATTAGAAGGCAGGAATTGTGATGACGAAATAATTGTTTGAAAAAGCAAAAGACGATCACAGCTCATCTACATAGCAGCATTCCAACCCGAATGCATTCTCGCCAGCAATTCAGGACAAGTGCTCAAGCAGACCAGCCGTCTGGTCTGTTCATTTGGGGGAAGCGCTCCTTTCAAGTTAGTGACATCATCTACAACTGAAGACCTAACTATCATCTCGAATCGATTGAACCATTCCTGAGGACCAAAACGTGCTCGCAAATCATCAACGAGGACCTCAGCTGGGCAATGACCAATCAACTTGCGACGGATCAGTGATAGGCGAGAACGTCGATATTCTTCTTGCGATTGGTTGTAGCGTTCGCTAAATACCGACCAATCAGTAGTAGACTTATCTTTGATGAAAGTCTATAAGCAAAAGTTGTGTTTCAATTCATAATCCCGTTATTTTAATCAATGACACTTAATACCAACCTGTATAGTGGACAGAAAGAGACCATAATTGTACCGAAGAGATGCGAGGGTTCGACTAAGTATGGAACCGAAGAGTCCTGCTGGCCCGGAAGGTTCAAGGAGTTCTCGAAGACTGGAGGTTAGTCGAATAGGAACATATTCGGGTGATGGAAGGCTGAGGCTAACTCCAAACACATATCCAAAATCAATGCCAGTCAAGGCACCTGATGATTTGTCGAGGAGGAAGTTTCCAAGATGACGATCTCCTACCCCTAAAAATTGAACATACATTGCTAAAGGTGTTTCCAACTACCATTTATCACATTTTAAAAACACTGTGAACAGATATAGAGGAACTGGCGAACAACTTAGCAGTTAATATTGGTTAAAAAGGTGTTCATGAAAGCATCCTACGCCCACGAGTCAATCTCCAAGCCAACACACCACTAACTGAATATAATTGATTGATCACGACGAATAATACGCAGTGAAGCCATTAGTTTATTCATAACACTGCCATTAATCCGAACTTTTGGGGTTATGGAAGCGTCTTATTTAAGACATTATAAGCGGCAATTTATGAGACATCATATAAGGTAAACGATTCCTCATGCATCCGATATTCCAGCTGTGAATCTGAAGTAACTTCATTTGGCGCAAGTTCACAAATATTTCAATCCCCCTCCACCCCCCCCCCCTCAGATGCTAAATGACAGCTATATTTTCAAGGGACCCTATGTCTAGAATTCCATAAAACCACCATTTCAGTTGGACACCTCAAACAACCGATCGCTTCGATAAAGGATCTCTACTTTACCTCAGGG